GGGGAGACAAAGGATTTTGTCAGTCCAAGGCTTGTATTTGCATGTGTGAGGAGACTGTAGTAACAGCTGATCTACCACTAGAAGGCACAAAACGACCTCCATCATTTGTAAAATGACATCATGAGTGATAAAAGGATTATTATTGTAGTTAGTTCAACATTCTCTCATGCTTAAAGGGCTCACACTGTATTAGAAGCGGCTGAGTTTTTGCTAGCAGTCTGGGAGGCTGTTTTGGGGGGAATAGTATTGCCCTTAAGGGTGTTCAGATCCATAGAGCCATAGAGCTTCTCCTTATCCTCTTTATCATTGCGGGTCTGTGTAACACACAAGTCCTGGCTAATTGTTCATGTTGCTGTACTTAGACACAGGCCCTCTGCTTAATTCCAGAAACAACAATTTTCCATTTCTGGGTCCCAGCTAAGAACAGAAACCCTGAATTGTGGTGAACCACAGTAAAAGAAAATGCAAGGCAGGTATCAGGGCAAAGGTCTAATAACGTGATAAATGACACTGCTCTTCTCCCACCTACTGTATTGCAAGCTGGTGTAAGTACCCAAAGGAAAGTCATTCTTGGAAAGGGGAAGACAGCCTGAAGTTCTCCACACCTTCAATTGCCAGTAAACAGCTTTCTTAAGTCTCAGTGCATTTCTCCACCCCAGTCTTCTTGTTATTGCTACTTCTGGACTGCTGAAGAAGTCAGCTCACAGTGCTCGGGGACAGTGACTACTTGACAGAGGTGGAGATAAAATTTCATAGAACTGGTAAGACTCCAAATCCACTGCCTCCCTCTCTCTTGGATATTTAAACATCCCGTCATATTTAAAGACCAAAACACAATTGATTACATTTCAGTATATGGACAGTAGCGTCAGTGCCCTGAAATTATTCACCAAGGCTGTTAAATAGCCAGCTGAACCAGACCATTTCAGCACTTCCTGGCGATTTTTGTAATCGTTACAGTATGGGCACTGTAATTCTGCACTAACTACCATCCAAATTGACAACCTGTTACCAGTGCTCTGTATGTTAAGCCAGAAGCTGAACGCCAATAATCTAGGCCACCTGGACCACCCAGGCTGAAGTCCTAACTGGCCGACCCGCGTAAGTAAGGGCCAAGACCTCAAGAATCTAGGTTGAGTTAAGTCGCTGGCAGGAGAAGTGAATGACAGACAGGACAGCCGCGGCACACAAGAGTGGCAGGCGTCGTGCCACGCATGAGCAGCGCCCCGCCGGCCGTGTGGTTCCGTCTGCAGCCAAAAACAACTTGGACCGATTCCAGCTAGCACACCACGTCCTCCAATGACAACCTTTTGCGCAATGACATGCCTTCTCCTGTGGTAATCAAATCTGCGCAAATCAAAGCAAGTATCTCTTTTCAGCCCGTGGAATAAACCAAGACACTTCCTGGAGTTCCAGTTCATCAGATTATGAAAAAAAAAAACAACGAGAAATGACTCATCCGTGTTCTCTGTTTTTTTTCTTTGAAGAGCTACAATTATCACATTCCTAAAGATACACCCCTTATATCCTCAGGTCCTTAAGCACTTTTTCTCCAGACAGAAATGTTTGACAGTAAATAATAAAATAGATGTGTCATTTAAGTTTAATGTAGTGCTGTCGCTAGGACCCATGTTTGATACTGGACTTACCCTCTTTTGCATTTCTTGTAGATTTTTCCGATGGCGTCTTCCCGCAGGCCGTATTTCTCTGAAATCTGAAAGCAACCAGTGGCTTTTTAGTCAGCTGCCATATAATCACTCAGCATTTTGTCATTGGCAAGACTGGAACGAACCAGTATTACTTCACCGTTTAACTATTCTGTTCAAGCTTGGTGTTGTGTTATTAAATAGACCTACGTTAATTTAGGTTTCACTATTGCGATATGTTGTACATAACAGATCTGAAAAACAAAGTTCTTTTCAGCTTTATCAGGATAAATAGAATGTTAAATTAAAAATCGTATTGCTTTTCAATTTTATCTCCCTTCCAGAGTGTAATATATATATCTATAATTCTGGAATTGTGGTGTTAAAGTACAGGGTGTTACAGATAGGAGTGGTGTGGTTTAGATGTGCCTTGACTGCAATGGACTTACAGCATCTTTCAGGCCTTTGAGGGTTGGGGTGTTCAGCATGAGAGCGTCAAAGACTTCATCTGATTCCATCCGGACATACAGGAGAACTGTAAGAAGAGGGACACGGACCATAAAGATCTGAAGGCAGCATGAAGAACAGTTCAGCAAACACAAGCGTTGCTTAACCTTTGCCCTGTAATGAGGTGAGAGGGCTATTGCTACACTATGAGAATCAATCCATGATCTGGGAGAAATGGACATATTTCAATTTCATTTACAGCCTAAGGCAGATACCAGCGTTGGGGAAAGTTACATTTAAAAGTTTTCTGTTGTAAGCGTTTACTTTAAAAAAATGTTTCCAAATACTGGTGTAATTTATTATACATTTTAAAAAAAATTAACTTTAAAAATATTCCCTTACACTAGTAATTTTTAACTCTAATGGATTATTTTTTAAAGGTAGCTTTCCCCAACTCTGACAGCCTTTGTTTCTGAGTGAGAGTTTCTTTAAACTGAACTAATCCAGACTGGCTCTACTGTTAATCTCTCCTGCTTGAAATTGTTGGAGTGGAATGGGCTTTCATTTCTCGTAACAGACCCCTCCTTGCCAGGGCACTCCGACAGGTTTTGCTGTTTGTTTGGGACCATTTGATAAAAGATGTGTCTTTTTTTTACCTCTTTGCTGTTCCTCGCGCTTGGACTGCTTGCAGACAGGTGGGCTGTATGTGTCTGGGTATGGGGGACAGCTCCTTTTCAGAGAAGCCCTGGAATCAACAAACAGACACTTAGCGAGAGAAATACCTTTCATGAAACATTACCTTTTCTTTCGAAACACTAATTCAGAATCTAGCCATCTCTTCACACGCATTATCTGTGTGAAATGTATGCAATGTGGTACAGAAATACATATTTCTAAGACTAGTATGCATCTGTATGTAGTATTTAGTATGTAATATTTGTACATATGTATACAAATATGTTAAAATACTTTTACTTTTTTATAAGTACTGAATTTCTTCAGTACTGTAACAAGGGTTTGTGTCAAAGGTGTTTATATAGAAAGTTTGATTTCTAAAGTGTATTTCTTTATATAGAAAGTTTGTCATTATGGCCAAGACCAATTTCTAATTAAGTTCAAGGAAATCAAGATAGAAGAAATGAAGGGATAAACCACAGTGTCGTTACCTTTCTGTCTCCTCTGGAGTCACAGGAAGTACCTTTATAAAAACAGAAGATAACACTGCAATCAGATACCATCTGTGTTTTTCTGGACAAACCATTGCACAACATGCTTTTCACAAAGGCATCTGAAACCAAGCAGATCCATTTTATCTGGACAGAAACATCTTCTTATTCATCGTTGAAAAGATACCTTAGGCAGAGTGTTAACAGAGGGTGCAGGAAAAAGAACTACTGTAGTGCTTAAGGTGATGCCTTGCCAGGTGCATTTTGTTTCATTAAGAAGGCTACTATCTCCCAAAAGCAGGCAAACTGTAGAATTGCAGTGCACATTGTACAAATGCTTGTGAGTAGAAAGAAGTACAAACAGTATAATTGATATGCTCATGGAAATTTATCAGAAGCATCTCTTTTTCCCATCGCTTCTGTCCATATGTACACAGACTCGTGTACTTCACTTAAACAACAGTTAATGTGCACTGGAGCACAACAATTCAGTCCACAAAGAACCTGGACCCCAAGTTTCAAGTGAATAACACCAGGACACACCAGAGGTCAGGGCATGCCACCACATGCAGAAAGTGGTTTATGCATGGGAGTGTGTCCGTACAGTTGCTCGAATAGGACGACTGGATTCACATGCAAATAGTGCACATGGAAATAAGAATGTTTTGGCAAATAATTGAATTTGAATCTGAATGTAGAGGCCGCTCTCAGAAAAAGAATCTGTGATGTCAAGATAGTGACAGTAATGTGTTGATAGAGATGATCTTCCCCCTTCCCACTAAGGTCTGCCCAGTTCCTCCCTGCAGTAGTTTGTTTGCACAGCAACGAGAATCAGGTCCCATGCAAAGAATGCAGACCTTATCAGTCAGGTGAACAGCACACACCCTGAGACTGTGGGAAACTCCCAGACACCTCCCGGACCGTCTTTACTGGGTTTTGTCAACACACTGAAGAACATCTCAGTAGCGGCTGTCCACTGAGAGCCGAGCGGGCCAGGGGGAATATTCCATAATGTTTTATCTCAGGTGTACCCATTGGGAAGTCCTGCACAAACAGACGAAAAGACTTACCAGGCCACATCTCTGCATGTTGGAATAGTGGATTTCTGGAATGAAGAGGACAGGCTGTGTGACGAGGTCTTCTAATGCCTTGAAATAGGTGCAGTCGCTGCCACTTGAACTTGACACCACTGACTGTTTCCCATGTGCACCTGTAAACAGGATAGTATGCATATTACTCTGCATTTTTTCACTTTCGTTTCAGTCTGAAAACGTGAGAGCATCAAAAAGGTGAATTATGTTGAAAGTACAGCTTTACATATATTGTAGATCACCATTAAATTTTCCAGGTCTGGAGCATCTGCAAAGAGGTAGTTGAGGTTTTCTAATGCGAGGGTAACTCAAATACTAGACCTCCCAATTCAATAGGATTTATGTACAACCCTGTCTCTAGATGGTTCATTAACAAGGTAATCAATGCATTTATAATGATCAAATAACAGACTGTGTCAAAGATTTGTGCTGGAATGCATAGGGAGGCCTGGTATTTCACTATCCTGACTAGTTGAGATGGAGCAATCCAGTATGTTTTCAGACAATTTATCCCTCCCTGCAGAAATGTAAAGGCTTTGGAATGTATTTAAAGGGACAAAAGATAATTTTATACTTGCCAGATCATTTATGGAGTCAGCAGTGAGAGATTAATATAAAATGTGCCTTTAAGGAAAATGATGTCATATTCAGAACTGGAAACTCAGAAATTAGATAAAAGCACCGCGGGAAGATTAAACTCATCTACAGTTCACAACACAATAAATATATTCCAGCTTTCTGCTTAAATGGTTGTGTCAGTGAAAGGTTAACTTGAAATATGGGCCTGTTTGCACAACAGTAAATCTGACAAAGTCTATAGGAAGTCTCCTAAGTAAAATAGTCAGCATGAGGCACAGACATGTTACAATTGATTTTTTTTAAATGCACTTCTTGGATGTTTCCTTGAAATGTGTAAACCCCTCGTGCGATGCAAGTTGTTATTATTTTAACTTGAAATGCTCAAAATACATGGAGTACACTGGAGACAGCTGATGTCTTACCGCTGTTACTAGAATCTGCGCTTTTGGCCTTCCTTCTTGACTGCTTTCTATCTTCATCTCTCATCTTCCTCTCTGCCCCCTGCAGGACAAAACACATCATCAGACCTCACATAATTTTGTGATTTTCAGATTGACAAAACATGCCAGTAGCACACTTAGCAGGGGTATATAAATAATGAGAATCATTTCAGAATATTTCAGGAAACAATACATTCAGTATATATTATTTCTGAACAGTATATTCAAACAATATTATTCATGTATTCATGTTTGTTGTTACTTTATTAGGTATGCAACATGTGGACTTGCTTACAGGTTCTTAATGTAACATTAATGTTGCTTAATGTTAATGTGCTTAATGCATTAAAAATAATCATCAGATTAGTATAAAACACATTTCTCTCAGCCCAGACTAACTTGGGACTCTACCACTCAACAACTATAAAGCTCAAACAGGAAGTAAGGTTCTATAATTATTTGCTGACATGAGGAGCAGGGTGTTCTGTGATTAACTAAAACAAAACTTTGCATGGAGCCCTGAGGTTGTTTTCAATGGCAAACCCCACAAATGAACACAATCGAACTGAGCCCCCCAGGACAGCAGGCGTTTGAGCTGCATCATAAATTACCTGCCTGAAACCTACAGGAGAAATACTTTACCTTCAAAAGCATTTGCATTATCCCCAAGGTGCACTCCCTAGTTTCGGGGGGTTGCTAAAGGTGTTAGTTTTTGTTTCACTCTAATCATTTTGCAGCCTAAGGCTAATTCCACAGATCTGGAGTCTAAAATGGCTCCAGTTTTTCATTTTTTTTCTCCCTGCAGGCCTGCGGCTCAGTGACTGAAGACCACAATGGCTGATTCCACCAGAAATCCAGACATGGGCTTGCCGCCTTTACTTTAGGAGTGATTTTGCACAGTAACAAATATCACACATATATCAAGTACACGTCCCCAGATTCTTTCTTTTACACTGCTGCTGTGTAAATCAAAAACCCATTTCATAATTTAAAAAGAACATCACACTTTTAAAAGCAATAAGTTATGTAAAGCTAATGATGGCTGTGTTCGATCTCTGAATATACACCTCAGATGGAATTTCAATGAGCTTAAGGTAAAGGATTTAGAGTTCCAAACACAACACCTGTTTAGCCAAACATTACCACTATATCTCCAAAGAATAGAGCTTGATTACTTCTTCTCTACAGTATAAAATCTTCATTTCCCTTTTCAGTTCCAACTAAGGATGCACCGGGTGATTTGAGGTATAACTCTGATTTTCTTTTCGGTCTTATGCCTTCTCACAGTTGACATTAAACAAAGAAAACTGCCTTCAGTTCTGCAGAGCAGTCATGAATGACAACGTGATGAGAGCTTTTTATTGCTTTGCAAGCGTTTTTCTGCCCACACATAAGGGTAAGGAAAGAATTATTCTGTTTTACACAATCCCATCTCTGATCTTGCTCAAATTTAATACAGACTCCTCATGTCAGCCAGCCAGTATAAAAACACTAAGGAAACCTCTTCGAATAAAACCTACTATAAGGTACCTAGTGTTTGTTTTGTGTGGAGAATTATCACAATGAGACATTTCTATACAGCAGGAAATGCAGACACAGAAAGAGTTAGGAGGTCATGAAGGTACAGGCAGGGATTGTAGCCAAGATGGAGTGTTTTTTTACAGTTCTTATCTACTTGTTCTGTGCCCACAGGGTGTCTTAATGAGATCATCTTTTCATGGAGGAGCAAAAAACAACTGATATGATTTAATCAGCTAGCTTTTTTACTTCAGTTGTATGGTGATATTCATACCACAAGCACAATCAGTGAAGCGGCACTTTTAGGTTTTAGTCACTGATTGGATGTGAAAAGCGAGTGACTAGAACATGATATTTAAAGCCCTTGTTTCTGTGGGCTCTGAGCAAAGCATTCTTTTTCTTTAATTAAAAAAAGGGATTGACAACTTTAGCCATACTTGTCTCTCCTTAAGGCTGACAGAGTGCTGTTGTGATTAGTGCTGACTCACAGCTCTGCGGTTCTGGTTCTGCTTCTGGACTGGGTCGTGTGTCTTCAGTGTGGAGTTTGCATCCATGTCTGCATGGATTTTCTCCAAGTGCTCCAGTTTACTCCCACATTCCAAAGCCAGATAGCTAAGTAAACTGTCCCTATACGTGTGTGTGTGTTTTTGTTTCTGGAATAAGCCCTGGATTGTCCTGACCCTTACCAGACATAAGCATCTTTATGAAAATGAAAGGATCTCCAGTCATGTCTGCTCAAAACATTTCTGGGTTTCCTATGTACTGCACGTGTCCATGTTTTTCACAAGCCCCCTTACTGCAGTGCCCCCTGGAGTGCCCGCTCATGAGCAGAGGCACCGTGCAGACCGACAGCTCTTCCACTGTGGGTCCTCCTTGCTTTTGTGTGTGTGCTGCTGGAAACAGAGAGCTCTTAAACGTGTGTGAACAGGCTCGCAGACTTCCACCGATACCAGCGTAAAGGCGGGGTGGGGGAGTGGGGGGGTGGAGAGGAGGGAGAGAGAAAGGCATATTTACTTTGTCACAGAAGATTTTGATCTGGCAGGCTGCCCTGTGGATGAGGCGGTTGGTCCCTGTGCCGTAGTCGTAGGTGTCAACCTGGAGGTTCAGGGGGAGCCCCTTTACTCCCTTCTGCGAGGAGAAGTCTGTGCTCAGGCAGTTGATCCCAACATAAACCTGGAACAGCAAAGTAGAGTTTAAATACTAGTAATCCTAGAGAGGCAGCCACTACTTTACTTTCTGCTATGCTTTCTTATCCTCATTTGATTTTAGTTGATGTATCTTTTCTTTGATTTTTATCTCTGTTAATGCTTCGTTTTGTTTAAAAGGTGGTGTTACCTGTACTTTCGCGACTTTTTGCCATATTTCTGAGGCTCTGTGGTTTTATGGTGTGGCTGGGAGGGGGGACTAGGGTCCGTAATTTAGGAGATGCAGAACTGAGTAACTTTTTTTCAGTTGTTTATATTGATGAAGTGTCCCACTTGTAAAACTGCAATAAACATATGAGCCAAATGCAAGAGTTTTCAGTAAAAACCAGGTGAAAGCTGACACACCAGGTAGGAAGCTCTATTATTTCTCAAGCGCTCAAACACTTCCCATTCCTCTCCTGTGTTTGTGGAACTCTCCTTACAGAATTTCAGGTGTCCAATAAATGTTACAAGCATTTGATCCACCAACCCCCATCATACCAAAAAGCATTATTTTAATATTTTATATATATATATCTGATGCTGAAAACCAAGATATGGCTCAGTTTAACCAAAAGGGCGTTTATTGTGAACCATCTGAAACCTTGGGCAACCATATGGCCTCTAGTTTCCTGGAAATATGTTAATTAAATCTCTTTTTTACCTAACGGTGCTGTAAAAAATGAGAGGGAGCCCTGGCAGGAGATCAGGACACACCTGTTATTAATGATCTGAAATTGCAAGAGTGGGCGAGGAGAGGTGTGACATAACGGCAGGACATTGTCGAGCAATAGGTCTCGCATGCATCACCCATCAGAGCACAAAAGAGCCCTGCCGCTCCCCGCCCGCTAATTAGGCTCCTTGTCTCGTTGACCGGGGTGATTGGACGGGAGTTTGTTCCTAGAGCACTTGCAAAGAGCAAGCAGAGACCTGTCCATGCTGAAACTGCGTGGCTGCTGAGTCGACCTAATGGGAAACCGTTCGGCTTTGTCTTCAGTTTCAGTGGAAATGAGCAAAACCAGATCATGAGGGAATGTCAGTCTGTGCAAGGGGAATATTCCATTTCCCTCAGTATCCATAATGGAAGTCAGTGAGCTTAACGGTTTGTGTGTGTGTAGATGAAGGGAGTGAAAACCAGTCTTTAACAGGAGTTAAGGTAATTAAAATACAAATAATGCATCCGCTAAAAGCTAATTAAAAGCAGTTAGAGATCAAACCTATAAGAATTAGCTGCATAGGAAAGCTTGCAAATCTTGAATGTATAGCAGTAAATATATCCATAGTCTAAGGCTTTTTAAGGTAGTTTAATGCTCTGAATAAAATATCCACTGTTCAATAGAAGCTACTAATCTACTTACTAAAATAAAACATACATGCCTGAGCATCTGACCCCTTAGGAATTAAGCCTTGCATTCAGCCAGTGACACAGGTACAGGAAAAAGATGGGGGCAGAAGTCACCAGACTCAATTGGGCCAATCAACCTTTCATGCTGCTTTAGTATTTCTCTCTCATGGACTGTCACAGGCTCTAAGGGTGATGTATTGCCTTTCAGAAACTCCGGCATAGCATGAGAAATGTTGGAGCTCAGCCAATTGTTTGGTTGTGTAGATTTGTTGCGATAACAGCTCAGGGAGCAGGTGTCTGTGGACAAAACGAAGGCAGAATTCTCTCTGTCTCAATCTTTTTTTCCACCTGCTCCTAGTTTCGCTGTCCCCACCCGTGAAAGGCCCAAGGCGAACTGTAGATCAGATTGACTGAGTGCTGTTCAAAGAGTGTGTTCTGATGACAGTTGCCTCAGGGTGCTACGTGCTTAGAATTTTTAAATCCCACTGACACCCTTCTACCTTAAAATGCTGATTATCATCCTGAAAAAGAGGTTTATTGCTTCGGCTGAAGATTTCTAAATTACCCCATAGTAAAAACTCCACGTGGGGAGTTTAACATTTGGTTTCAGTCAGGTGTTTTTTTCTGCAATGAGGACATTCTTCTTTATTAGATTTCCCGGTATGTTGGCAGGCTACAAGATGAAAACAGCATCCCGGCGAGAGCCTGTGTGAACCCGGCACAGATTTCTTTCATTCGGTGGGATTGCGAATAGTTAAGACTTTGGGTTTTTTTCCAAGGGGTGTCACCACATTAAAACCAGCCAGAGTGACAGGAGTGCCAGAGATCAGCATTCAGGAGAGCCAGGAGTGGACAGGTTGAGTCTGGAGGCTCTGGACATTTGAATACATACCAACGAAGATAAACGGCTAATGTACCGCATAACCCCAGCGGTGTCATGACACCGCGACAGTAAAAGCAGTGTTTCGACAGCCAGCCAACCCTGCTCCCTTTATCTATTCAACTGGCCTTACCTTTGCTTCCTCGGTGGTGTTCCAGATGAATGACAAGGCATTGAATGCCACTTCTTCCACATTGCTCACACCGCTGAAGACCTCTTTGTAGTCAGCTGAAGGAGAAAGCAACATGTCTTGTTATCCTCAGCCTGGGAACTCCTTAAGGCTGTGGTTGTGTTTGGCTGACCTTCTCTGTGTTTTTGTTCAAAGTGATTTCTGATTTGCAGGAATGCCTCCTGTTCACTACTTTGGTTTGCTGGTACTTTTTTATACCATAATAAAAATTAAAGAGATTCTGAAAGGCTGGTGACAGAGGACTGATTCTTATCTAACTGGGGCAACTGGCCTGCATGTTTCATTGGAATTAGCAATTGGATAAAGCATACGGAAAAGAAAAACGCTTTTCAAAAACGAGTAATTACAATGGGAGTTGGTATGAGTAACCTATAGGTAAATCTTTATCATAGGTAATACCTAAATAAAGGTAAAATAGATCACGCCTGTGCATGACTCATATCAGCTGGAGCAGAGGGCTCAAGATTTAAATAATGAAGCCATCAGCTGAATTTGTCATTGCACGGCATGACTTTTAGCACTCTCTAGAAGTCAGCAGTGACGCGATACAGAGAAGGAGGTGGCAGAGGTTGTTGTCTGCGCAGCAAAGTAAGCAATTGCAGGACTGCGTTTAAGAAGATTGACATCTCCCTCACTGCGTTCATTCCTGACCTGACCCTGTACTGGAGCCCAGTTCTCTACAGAGCTGTGGGAATAGGAGCTTCATGCCAGAGGACATCATACCTATGTCAATGACCCGCTGCTTAACGGTAGGCTGTCGGGAATGCCAGTGATTCCAGCACTTCAGCTGCGTCTCTGCGTTCTTCTCATTCTCAAACACGGCCATGACTACCGTCTGCGGAAAAAGAGACACCGGACCCGCTGTTAGTGGGATGGGACCCAAGTGGATGAGAAAAAATCACCGTTCTTTCCAGCAGTCCCAGACTCTGTGACGATGCTTCACGCTCAGAAGCCATGTTAAAGCTGCACATCGCACTGGGAGAGCTGCTGCTGCTCTGGGTAACTGTGTGTCTTTGTGACACATGGAGCGGTTGCCGTACTGCTTTTACGATCGGGATTTTTAAACTTGATCAAAAAATTAACTGAATAATAGTGAAATCACAGATTGAAGGACAAAACAGTGAGCCGTTAAATTTGGAGGGTAACAGAGCGGTTTGTAGCCCTCTTTTGGTTACAACTTTGGTAAATTCTTTGTAAAATTCTGTTGTTTTGCAAAGAGAATTTGTCATGAAGCTGAGACACCACACCCCTGCATTGCTGATTAGAGAAATGTGGGTTACCCATAAGCATCCCGTGTTACGGAGCTCTGCTGCGTACAGACAGACACGAATGGATTTGCCTAAAGAACTCCATTGTCCTGTATCACGATTTGGGTTTAGGCCAAATCAATCGCTTACCTCAAGACCCCAGAGTGACGGTACGTTTCCACCGAGGGCTGCTCTGTCTAAATAAATACATGCCTGTTTTTTTCTTTTTCTTGAGTTCCATAAAAACTCAGTTACTGAGATGTTAAAATCTCAAAAATGGACACCCACACATCATTGAGTGAAGATGGTATAAATGCCCTCAGGTATCCACTATCATCGTCAGGCCACCAAAGACCCAAATTCTGAAGGTACTGTATATTTGAGGTATAATTTGAGGTGACCAAAATGACCACAACACCAGTTCAAGCATTACACCAGTAAACACGGCCTGTTTGGTAATGACAATCGCTACCCAGTTTATTGGGAGTGTAATCGCTGGCCTGACGGAGGTATGGCACAGCAAGCAGAGACAGAATGGTTGAGAGTCTGACCTTGACTTTGTTGGACGAGAGCCCTGCACAGCCCTCTCCTCCTGTGGCTTTGAGAGTGATGGGGTAGAACTGTCCCTTGTTGAGGTAGGCCATTGGAATCTCAGAGGATTTGTGCTGGGAGGCCTGGGGAGTACCCAGCGTGTACTGAAATTCATTCCTGAACGAAAGCGCAGACGTTAGAAGAGAGAAAGGTTGGGTTTTCAGGTCAAGCCCTAAAAAGGCTTCTAACCAGTGCAAACTTCTTAGACAAAAAAAATCAAACTGATATATAGAGGCACCTTCCTTGTTTAGGTTCCTAAAAATGAATTGGATCTTTTCAGAGCTGAGATTAGAGCTGAGAGCTACAGCATACCTGTATTTGTCTGAAGGAGAGCTGGTGTAGGTTTCGGAGTAAACTGGACTGGTTGGCTCTCCGAACAAATCGCTGCAGGGCAGAGGCTGCAGAGGAACAATAAAAATGTCAGAGAAGAAACACCCTACAGGAGCCATATAATTATTCAGTGTTTGTTTATTGGGATTCCATGTCATTTAATTGAAGTCAACACCCTCTTTTTTGTTTTATAGATTTAGAAACCAATGGAGGACAAGGGTGTCTGTCAGCAAGCATATGGCATTGTAAAACTGAAACGTGGTTTTTTAAATGTTATGCATGGCAGAATTCCGGTTTGTGTCTCACCTCGTGGGGACCTTCTTTAAAAGTCGTCTCGGCCGCCCATTTCTGCTGTGGCGAGAGCAGGATGGAGTCGAAGATGGAGTTGTCATACACTTCGCCGGAAGTCATGAGGAAGTCCTCCGAGTGCGACTGCTTGACAGGGCAGGGAGCGACGCGCTGCCTCTCCATTTTCTCCGTCTCCAGACACAGCAGCTGAGGCTTCTTATTCAGCTCTGAAATTTCCTGAGGCGCAGAAATGTTTTCAGGCACTAGAAACTTCATGAGGTGATTTGGATTCTCCAGGTTGGTCAGCTCTGGAACAGCTCCGTTGCAACTCCTACAAGAGATTAAAGCGTTAGACCTCCTTCCCTTCCCAAAAAAAAAATCCCCATCCATATGCTATATCGATTTATCCAATTTAGAGCTGTGGGAGAACTGGAGCCTATCCTGGAAAACAACAGGTGCAAGGCAGGATACACCCTGGACGGGATGCCAGTCCATCACAGGGCACACACAGATTCAAACATGCCACTTACACCAGGACCCAATGTGTTTCCCAGAAAACAAATAACCTAGCAGTATGCTTTTGGACTTCGAGAAAAAACCCGAGCATGTAAGGAAAACACAGGGAGAACAAGCAAACTCCATCTCCGTGCAGACAGCACCCCAGGAGCTGAACCCAGAGCCCCTGGGCTACACGGCAACAATGCTAACCACTGCACCACTGTGCCACCCAGTATACTTATAACGTAAATGATGGTAAAAGCATGGTAAAGCCAAGTAAACAATGTAAAGTAATAAGAGAAGTATAGACAGTTCATGGTAAAAACTGCAAAAATGCTAGTGGTTTAGTAAGCTTGTGGTTTTCAACATGTATGAGGAAGTCTTCACTGGCAGGCCTCAGGCATGTTTGATAACTATGTTGATGCGGCTGTCAAATGATGCCTGTCAAATGATGCCTTTCCACCTGCTCAATATGGCCACAGCTTGCTGCAGTGCTCCAGAATCTATTTAGACTTATCTATTCAATATATACAATGCATACAGCATTTGAGTTGTTTAAACAGCACTCCATTGTGCAGAATTTTCACTGAAAGACCTTGCTCATTTTTCATTTGATTTTCCTTGTGATCTTGTTTAAAAAAAAAGAGCAAGAGCGAGGTCAGTTTGAAATGTGTTTGGAATTCATCTACTGAAATTGGCGTTTTCTCTTGCGAAAAACACATAGGCACAGGGATGAGGTATTCTACTTCGGCTCAAGCCCTGTTTGCACTGTGGATTATCCAGTCACCCTGACTTCAGCCTTGGCTGAATTGCTCCATACTCGTGCTGCATGAAAGCAGAGTAATGGCAGCCTTTCTTGTTCGGGACACTAAAATAACACACGCCTCTTTCTCGTCTCAGTGAGGTCTTATCTGTCAATGGCTGTCAAGTGTCTCTCCCACTTTCTTTTAAGAGGTGTTTTTTTTTTAATTCTCAACTTCTCCCACCCTTCTTTATAAATGCAAGGCAGCCCATAAATCTTTTCTCTAAAAGATGACAGAATAATGCTACTCTGACATTCACGGCTTAAACAAACAAGTCAGCTGAAGAGAGCCTTACCTTTTAATTGGCTCGTACAGGCCATTTCCTCTGTTTGAATGGAACATCTTCTGGTCTTTTGAGGCCTAAAAATATAGATCTCAAGTAATCAGCATCATTTATATAGCACTTTATGCATGTTTTAGTGTCAAAGCAACTAACACTTTTGCATTCGGTTGCTCCTTTGTGCTACAAATCCTCCACAATCTACTAAAAAAACCCATGCAAATGTTATTTACAAACTCAATAATTAGCTTGGCAAAATGTCTGCATTTGTTAATGACAGTAGGATTGTGATACATTTATTACACCTGCAGTTTAATGAAAACAGCAGTTCTAATTTCAAAATGTAGATGTAATTTATCTAGAATTTTAACAGAGATACCTTTCCTATTCCCCTTAACACAGAATGACCCAAATAGATTTATTTTCTCAAATATCCAGGGCATCACCTTGTTGTACGTGTCGTAAAAGAAGCTCAGGGCAATACTGTCGTCATCACTGTTTGGTTTCATCCTCTTATTCGAAGCCATCAGCTGGTTGTCAGCGTATGAGTAAGCATCCATTTGGTTGTTGTAGGAGTACCTCTGGCAGTTTAAGCTATCATTCTGAAGAACCATCACAGACCTCAAGCTGGGGAGAAAAAAAATTGCTTATGAATGTCATGATCCTGACAAAATAAACGTTTTCTGTGCATTAGAATGAACATGCAACAATTGTTTTATATATTAAATTAAACAATCAGCATTTACTCCTGGCTCAATAAATTAAAACAGTGAACGCCTCTTCATCGTGAATCAGTTCGTTTGTAACTTTAAACCCTTTTGTGAACCGCTAGATGATTGTTTCTAAAAAAATCAGTTATAAAGTAAACAGAAGTCAGTTAGGACGCTACATATAATTAAAGGACTGTGTTAAATAATAGTGGCTTGGACTAAACACTGATTTGGCTGTTGAAACACTCCCTCTTTTGCTGTAAGGGAAAGTATATTCTTTTCCATCAGGAGATCACATTCCAAATCAGTGTTGTTAGCATGGTAACAGCACCTTCACAGTTATAGAGCGTCTCTATTTTACTTTGTAACCTTTTCCCTGAAAGTGCCGCGACAGTGCGATTTGTCTTTCCAAATGGAGCTTCTTGCTCGTAAGTGCAGTCCCAGTTCTGCTTGAGGACCAGGCTCTGTGCTGGAAGTCAAGCTGCATTATAATAACACACCTTAAGCATGAGAGATATTTGCTTCTGGCTATGATGGTTTCGGTTGCAAAACCACAGACCTAATAAGTTTTAAACAATAACGCATGAGGGTAGAGGATGTCGTAATGCTGTTTGAAGTGAAAGACACAAGAGTAGGATTTCTATATGATACTTGGCAATCCGCAGCATTTATTAAAGAAATGAAGGCAGAACAGGGAAGTGCTGACTTCATGAGAGCTTCTTATGGCCACAGCTCTACATGCAACAACACCCCCACTCTTGTAATGTTGTAACCTTCTATCAATTGCAGTTCTGATTGTACACATTTGGTCATAAAACTAATCGGATTTATAGAGGCATGTTATATGTATGTCTAACATCACATCACACAATTAATTTAAAATACAGAAATGTTTTTTTCTTCACCCACCACTTATTGTTTTATTTAAATAAGGACATCAAAAGCATCTCGTTTGTTCCACAGAAACATTAAATAAACTCTTTAGCCAAAAGTCAATCAATTAACATTTTACTGTATTCAGTGAATAAGTTGGACTCTGAGGGCAAAGGTAGAGGCCACTCTGAAACACCAGCTGAGAATTGTGAAATTAAGTCAGTTTAATAGAAAATCAAACTTAGACTCTAAGAATGAGTACAACAGTGATATTTAAACATATATATTGCAGGTGAAAATATAATATGAAAATTGGTAAATATCTGGGTATAATGGCATTTTGTATTGTATATTATGTATATTATGGATTATGGATTAAATATCCAGAAGAACATTAAACTGATTTTACTGTGAAAAGACAGTCTTGCTGTGGTTATCTTTACACTTGCCATCATAAAATATAGGATAGCTTTTTAAAATGTATAGGTTTCAAGACATTTGTCAATTTAGACATTTTCTGGTAATTATGTTTGTGTTTAAATATTGACTTTAAAAAAGCGCTTGTCCTTATAGTCTTTTACATGTATTTTCCAAGGCAATTCAATTAAGGAGACTTACCTGTTCTCTCTTTCAGGGAAGGGGTAGAGGTGTCTGTCTTTATAAAAACCTTCCCAGTGTGGGAAAACTCCATCATAGTAAATCCTTATTCTGAAGCCTTTTGTGAACGTGACTATTAGCTTTCTGTACTGGAAGCTTAATGAGGTTTAAGCAAATCTTCATCCCAGTTCTATGCAAGAGTTTTTAAATCGATACATTATGAAGGCTGAGCAATAAATGAACAGCTAGTATCCAGAAAAAAAAAGGTTTTATCCAGCTCTTGCAATAATATGCTCCTGGGGTATCCAGTTATCCACCCATCCATTTTCCAACCACTATACAGTACCCAAAACAGGGTCACGGGGGACCCGGAGTCTATCACAGCAAGAAACAGGGACAGGACACCAGTCTATCGCAGGGCATACACAACAATGCCCACATTCACACTTAAATCAGAGCCACTTTTCCCAGAAACCAACAAGTATGAAGAACACTTTTTTCACACTGGAAATATTCTCCTAGTCTTCCCCTAGTGTCTGTGAGATTCACTGCCTGAGGAATCTCTAAAGGGCAGAGCCCAGGGCAATTCAGAAGCCAGAAGACACTGCGTTACACTGGTCACTGTGTTTTTCTCGTCAGACAGGTATACTCATGTAAAAGGACTCTATCATGAGGTTAACTGACTACCTGTCTACTGCACCAGCTCTCGGCACATTAGCTCAGACAACTTTAGAGACCCTCAGGCCACTGGAGAACACTGTGGGCCTCAGTATAAATTATTCTAAATGTAATGTACATGATAAATTAGACTGATGTAATGCCTAGGCACAAATCCTGGTTTCAGCTCCTACACCAAACAGCCAATCCCACTGGATCTATGGTAGGACATATAGATAATATGCAAAATGTGTATGATGAGATTTATTTCTTAGTATAATACACATTCAGAACAAACAGAAGGGAACTTCTACGTATAGTTTAATGTGCATGTTTAACCCATTTCTAGAAAAAGCTGAGCTGAGATTCTTCTTCTCACATAGGGAGTTTGTCTCTAAGGGTGAGTGATCATGGAATAAGAGGTCATCCCACCAGCTCCTCGCTGAAAGGCACTAGGCTTCAAAATTGTCAATACAGAGCAGAGTAAACAGGGGATTCTGACTGAGGATCTGGTTCCTTTAGTCTTGGATATACAAGAGTAAACCTGTATTTGTTTGGAAATTTCACAGCTACCGAGATAAGCCTCCCCCACCCACCCACTCTTTGACGAAGGTAAGATCCCGTAATAAAAAAGAAACAAGCAAACAATCTCAGCGGCTTACAGGTGTTTAAAATGCAAAGGTGCTGACAGAAAGGAGCCTTAAACTGCTTTAGTGAGCAAATTTTTATGTGAAGAAAAAAAAGACTAATTTGCTGCTCTTGCAAGGTTAACACTGTTTTTAACTGTCTTTAATGCTAACTTTAGTGCCTGTCCCATATTCTCGGGCCTGGTGATTACAGCACACTGGTTTCATAGCTCTGAAGTGTACTCAAATTCCTACACTGCAGGTAGGGGAAGCACACCTGCCAGAAAAAAAGAGGCACCTGCAGCATCATCCAGAGCCTTAAACTATTTCAAAACACAGCTCTCAAAACAGAATCTTTTGAGCTCCTTCTGTACAATCATTATAACACTTAATGGCCACACAATATTGTAACATTTGCAGGTCAATATGGAAAGATTATACAGATGGATACCTAAAGACCATTGGCATATTTTTTCAATTTTCTCATGGTGCTTGTGATGGCCAGGGTTAAATTTCCATTTAGGTTACTGTATATGTTTATACATTTATTGCTTTTTTTTCCTTTTGCTTGTGGGGCTATGCAGTACGTTCTCACCCAGGAGAAGACTCAAACTCTAATAAGGTTCAAATCCCTGTTCAGGATTTCTCTTGCCCCTGCGGTCAGTGTGAGCAGAATGTCTGAGAAAAGACTGATAACTGTGAGACCATGTTTTCCCTTTCCAAGTCCTTTCAAGCTGCGTCAGTATCACATTTCTCTATGAAACAGCACCCTGCTTATTTTTCTTAACGCACATTCTTTGGGAATGGGTCTCCATACCATAATTCAAGAAGAAGTAAGAAATCCTCCACAATTACAAAAACAAGTACCAACAGTAGGAATTACGATCTCACAGCTCTTAGTCTAATGACGATGCTGTTAATCAATCTTTCACAGGTGTGATTATATTCCAAATCTATTTTTTTTTCAACTCTGCTACGGATTTTTAAGACCTTCATTTTACTTCTTTTCCGTCACAAAATACATGAAAAATGTTTCATTTCTCTAGCACGGCTTCTCATACTACAGTTTACATCCTGCAATACTGAGATTCAGGTGTACAGATTTGTCACAGGATTAAGAAGGAGTTAACATGAAGGCATAATTCAACAGGTAGCCTGTATACACATGAGTATGAAAAATAATGTGCATCTGTTTTAGAAAAAGACTACAAGGAAGGATTACTTACTCAATCTCTTTGGTCATGGCTTCGTCCAGATGAGACCGTTTAGATTCCTTAAGACAGACAACTTGTAAGAGCAGCTAGTCAGATGAAACAGTCATGTCCTGGAAGAGCAGTGTTTGATTTATGCTCACCTGGGTGTTGAGGTTTTTTTTGTGCTGACAGGTAAATTTGCCCCAGACATGTCTGATTGGCTGAGAGCTTGAAACAGGTGCCTGCAGACAGGTCTATGACAGGACAGGTGTAGCTTTCTTAACCCTTTCTCTACTGGATGGCCAATCACTGGGAGACAATTAGGATACTTTGCAGGACAATTGTGGGCTGTGACTCCTTGCATCACGTTAGCCAGTTGTTAAAGACAGCTTTTTTGATTCACAGCATTACCTAGATCTCATTTAGAATAAGACTCAGAAAAGCTGGAGTCTACATTAACATATGAATGAAATGCATTTGTTTTTTTCCCTTTTTGAAAAGGTAGGCACATTTACACGGCAGTTTCTGTTCCCTGGTTGCTGTGTCTTTCTCAAAAAGCGTGAAAGGTGTAAATGCTTCTGGATTGGATTAAATGCTCCTGTCTGAGAACTGATACTCGGTATCAATGGTTCCTAATTGGGAGGTGATACTCAGGATCACACATGCAAAAAAAGTGTACTTTCTAACTTTCAGTACTTTCTGATTTATTTATTAGTATTTGCTTTCCTCTTGCTTTAGTATCCCTTTAACAGGAGCACAGCACTGATTCTCTTTTTACTTCATATTGTCAATGTACCATATCAAGGAATTGAGTTGAAATTGCAAAAATACTTTCTTGCTAATTTCAGGACTTTAAGTTTCAATAACAGAAAGCAGTGGTGTGAAACATTTCTCAATCAGTTTAGCAAAATATAGATTTTTTCAGCTATAATACAAAGCAATTATTAAACCTGTATTTCATGAGCTACAGTTTAAGAGAACACCAGTATTATATCCTATTTTTCAATAATTTTAGTCATAATAGTTAAAGCCTGAATTGCATTTCTAATAGTTCAGGTGGGGTAGCTGCGTCAGCATGCATAGGCTGCAAAGGAACAAGTAACAAGCTTTGTTTCATATTATTTTATGCTTGTGGTAATATTATGAAGGAACAACTAATGGATTTATTTCATGCTGAAAAGAGAAGAAAGTAAGCACAGTGTTTTCGCCATGGAGCCTTCTTCTCTTTTCAGTATGGAATAAACCCATTACTTGTTCCTTCATAATATTACCTCAATAATTAAATAATATGAAACAAAGCTTTAACTAGAATTTACCATTGAGGAAGACCCTCATCTGTCTTCAGTAAACCTTATATTTTGCATACTAAATGAAAATAACTTATTACTCCTATAACAAAAATTCCCTTGTCCTGTTTGCACAGCCTATAGACTGTATACTGTTCAACCTGCTGGTATGTTGCTATATAATAATCTACTACTTTGCCATTGTCTTAAGTTTCTGTTTGCACCAATGTTTCCTGCCAGGTTTTCTGCCTCATTTGTGCAGATGCAATTCATTGTATTATATTGCTATTTTCTTTCTCATCTGACCTCATCTGAATAAAAGGTTTACTGCAGACAGACAAGTTTCATAGTATTTCAGATAACAATATGAATATCTCATTTGATTTCCACTTACGAGCTTACAAGAGAATGTATGGCGCTGAAGAGTTAAAACTGAAATTGATTTTCAGGGTAAATAAGCCATATCGTGTATGGAGTCAACACAAACTGGCCTTCTGTAGCTCATAGACAAACACAACATGAGTGATCTTTTGTAGTATTAAGTGCACATTTCTATAATAATTTACTGAATTTCTATTACACCACCAGTTATGGGAACTAAGTCCTTGTACTCTTAGAAACTGCTCTGCTTAATGAGCCAAACTGCTGTGGAAAGAAAGTAGAAGTGCTTTAAAAAAATAGAAGAGACAGTTGAAAAGAAAATAAATAATCCTTTCCTGCCAATCAAAAGTGGAGAATTGTTTCACTCAAAATGAACAAGCAGCAGAAGGCTGCCAAGCTCAGTCACTGGGCTTCTCTCCACACCTCCCCAAAACACATCGGTTCAGTCAGCACCTGTGGCCTCTCCGATTCCAGCTGTCCACTTCAGTGACTCCCACGACGCTGATCGGCACGGAGTCTGATTCTCGGCTTGGTAAGGTTCTTATTCACTACACTTATTCACTGAAAACATGAAACACATACCAGCTGGGGATCTACATTACTGCTCTGTCCCATACTATATCGGATCCCAGCGACTGTCACGAATTTCCTTTGCTTTCATTCTCTCGTGCAGCATTTCCATTGCCCATTTGAGAGGACCTGCACTGGATTGTAATTTTGATTACATCTGCTACGACCTTGTCCTTCTGGAACAGCTCTTACTGCAACATTTTATCGACAGGGTACCTCCCTACGTGTCTGCTACTTAAATAAGAAAAATGACCAATGTCCCCAACACACACACAGAATAATAGATTTTTTTCTTGCTTCCAAGTCTATAACCTGACCAGATTGCCCTGAGCTTCTCCTAGAAACCTGAGGTCTGATTTGCTTTTCTGCTCTGTGACGATGATGCCTTTGGACACTCTCTGATCAGTTTTTCTGATAAGGGCTTTTAAATCAGCACCTCAGGCTATGTTCACCTTCAGTAGATGTTGCTAGAGGGGCCTATAGAGAAAACTCCCTTTGTGAAAACCTGTGGAGTACATCCAAAATATATAACTAAACATTGCACTCCAAAATCTCTAATCAAAAACATTGTTAAATATTAGCACTACATCAGCTGTAACTGCACGATTTCACTATTATAATTTTCAGTGCAGTTTCCAGGGTAAAACTGCTCAAATTTGGTTGAAATCCTATGAACAATGTATTAAATTATAATGCGCTGTAATTTTCAGATGGGCTTGGCTGTGCAAGATCTGCTGGAAATGAGGCACAAAACACAAGCATGTTCATGAATCCACACAAATACATTTCCATTCACCTCGCACAACATATCCAAAAGCTTACGATTGGATATGTTACGATTTTGAATTGCTGTCATTTTAGTGTTAAATGCTGTTTCGCAAGTTATTTGTGATGCTGGCAATCATCTCATGTTGAAACCAGATCCAGCTAGCCTGGCATGACCCAAAACTGGAAGCAACGCGCAATATGTAACACAACTCAAGAAATGTCCTTAGCTCATAGGACCGTGTCTCTGCCATACAGTGCCTTAACCCCATTCTCTCTGTAAAGACTGATTTTTTTCTGCTCGTTTTCTTCGAAAGGGTAGAGTACCCTGCCCCGTGCTGAGCAAACCCCAGTAGTCATGCCAAGATTCATGGTTTACGATGTCACCTGAAACCCCTTACACGTATGCCTTGGCATCCACTGCATTGAGTTTATCTTCTCTATTTGGTAAAGGATACATGCCAGGGCGCCCACAGACAGAGATGTGATGTGTCTACGGAGTAAGGTGGCAGAGCATCAAAGAAAGCAGCATGCTATTTCTAAAGAAGACACCATTATCCTTGCAATACAATTCACTATTAATCTCTGCATTGCAAATATTGGTATCCTTTATTACTGTATATCTCATCAAAACTGATTTCTATATAAAATGTTTAATACTGAGAAGTTTCCTTCAATTACAAATAAATAGGATTGAATTAAGATAATTAGTTTAATTTGATGCAAATAAATACTGTGAATAATCTCACCCTGTTGCAACATGGAATTTCATCCAGACAAAACCTTTGATAATGTTGACATATTCCTTATCTGATGTGTAAGAGAGCAGGTTCCTCGTAGAAAAGCAAAAACTTATTTTTTTCCAAAAGGCATTATATTATTGTCTAATACATAGAGATATGGAATATAAATGTGGATATTTCTCACATGCCATATATTCTGCATTGCAAATCTGAAAATCTTGCCCCTTGACTCTTGTGTGTGATTTGTATCGAGGGTCCTAGATGAAGTTAGACATTATCACCCTCATAATGAAAGAACAATGAAAGAAATTATATATTTGTTTCAAAACTCAGCTGATATGGTTTGACACCCTAGGCACTGGGCAATTCCAGTAAAGCTCTTCTGAGAAAAAAAAACTCCCAGGTTACATTTGACAGCACGCTGACACGAAACGTCAAAAAAATCAACCCTCGTGATCACAGGATGGCAACACCCTGAAGTGATCTCCCTTGTGGTTTTGAAGACATTTATTTTTTCCCCTGTGAGTTTACCACACCATCCATTATTTTGTGATATTCCCACTTTCTCTGTTTCAGGCTTGCAAAGAGACCATTTTGGGCGGAGCGGTGGCACTGCAGCTATGGATCTGCGCCTGTGTCTGGAAGGTTGCCGGCTCAAATCCCACAGCTGGCAGAGGAATCCTACTCTGTTGGACCCCTGAGCAATGCCCTTAAAACCAGCTGACAAATTCCTAATGCAAGAAACTGTATATGGCCAATAAAGTGATCCTAAGTCTCCGCTGGTCTTCACTGTCTGGCAGTGAGCAGCCGGAGACCATCCCCACCATTGACACCTGTTTGTCTGCAGTGTCATTGTGCCCTTGGAATGCAAATGGGAGGCACAATGAGATGGTTAACTGCTCTGCTAGGTTGGGGGCCTTTTGAAAAATATATTAATCTCCATGAAAGTACTCCAACCCACCTAAACCATTAACATTTTCAGTGCTCTACCACAGTACTTTATTTGTTTGCAAATGTCTCACCAGAAGCACATATTTAGAGAATCAGTGTGCAAAGTGCCTGTTCTGGGAACTGTAAATGGATAGCAGGTGTTAATGGTAGCCCTTAAAGGGGCAAATACTCAGATAGAAACTACAATATTGGGGTTATATTCCTATTGTTGTCACCTGTTTGTTTTCAGAGCAAATAGACGCACTACAAAATGGGGGATACATTGACAGTCTAGGTGAGGCTGAAGAAACCTATCTGTGGCATTAAGCAATTCATTATCATTTACGTTACAGAAGCAGTGCGTTCAGAGACTGTTGTCTCCATGGATCATCAGCTCTCTAAGGGCTAAGTAGCAGGAAAAAAGAAATCTGAAAGAGGAATCGGTGTCTTTACTTCTTCTTCTGCTCCCGTTTTCTTTACAAACTCCCAAGGCTCAACATAGGGTTTCCCTTTTTAGGTCTGTCCGGTAGAGCACTGATATAAAAGCAAGAAACCCAGTTTTTTTTTTTACCTTGTAGAAAATCCTGGCATGTAGAGCAACAGGGTGGAAACATGTTCCAACAAAGTGCAGCTTTGACAGTAAATCTAACTCATAGTATCACTATGGCAAAATCATGGGGCACCTGACTTGGTAAACATTTACATGTTTTCT